GTTCTCTCCGATCTCCCCCCCCATGCAGAGAGGGGGGGGGGGGCGAGCGAGCGGCTGCGTGGTGCGGAGTTGCCAGCCGGGTTAAACCACGACACAGCCTTCCATAAAACCTTCGCTTGGTAACCCGTTTCAATCCCAGGTGTTGTTTTGTCGTTTTAGACTGTCCTCCACCCTCTGTGTGTAAAGTATCCCCCTTCCAGCAGGTACAGAAGAGGCTTCCTAACCGAACTCATCAAAAAGGTAGCGCTCACTTTTCACGTTGGTTGCAACTCTGGGTTTTGGTGGGTTTTTTTTCCTTGAAAATACGCCGGTTTTACACCGCGGGTCAGGCTGACTTGTTTGTATTGACAACCACCAGCAGTCGGTGTGAATGTTGTGGCCGGAGGTGCGCTAAAATGGCACTTCATGCCCGTACGTTTTCTGTTTGGTGACAAACGATTCGATGCCTGGACGGCCCCGCTCTCCCGCGCAGCACGAATCCACAGCAGCGGAGCCCCTGGATGAACTGTACGAGGCGCTGGCGGGAATTCTGAACGAGGAAGAATCCACTCGCTGTTACAAAAACTACTTACTGGTAAGAATGAACGCGGCTTCGTTACAAATCACCTTCAGCCACCCGAACTAAGCAATAATTGGCTTTAACAGAACCCCCCCGGAACCCCAAGGGCTTCCTACCTTTTTCCAGGCGCTAACACTGGCTGTACGCTGTAGGATCCCGTGGCTGTGCTGATCCATCCTTCTCTCCTTGCCTGTCTCCTCCAGCCCACGGGAGAATGCGTTACCCTCTCCGAGAGCATGGCAATCATCTCTGGAGGAACCACCGGGCTCGTCACGTGGGACGCGGCTCTTCGGCTCGCTGAATGGGCGATGGAGAACTCCGCGGTTTTCGGTGACAGGTAATGACAGCAGCACAGAGGGAAGGATGGGGAGAGAAGCCCAAGGTGTTTTCATTTGTATCGCGAGCGAGCTACGCAACTGTGATTTAATAATGCACAGTATTTACCTCCCCAAATAACGGGAATCACTGCCCCCTTTGCTGCCGGCTGGCTGCTGCTCTCATCCATTCTGCAACAGTCCGACTGTAGTCCAGGGGAGGACCTCGTAGTTGTTTTAAGACCGGTTTAAGATCAAGACGGTTACACCACGCAGTCAGACACGCTCCGTAACCTAGGCTCTCAGATTTCAGCCACCGCGCGGTCCAGCCAGTACTGCTGAACTCGCACACTTCGCTCTGCGATGGGGTTCATCTCCCCCGGGTGTGGGTGTGTGCACACCCCATTTCACAGTCCAGACTTTGTAAGCACTCGAGAGGAACAAGCGCTTTTGAGGAAAGATTCAGCTGCGTTGATTTTAAATATCGACTGCTGAAGCATCCATTTCTCTCCATCAACTGTGAAAAGAACGGGACAGCCAGTTTAGATGGGGACAGCCAGTTTAGATGGGGACAGCCAGTTCAGATGGGGACAGCCGGGCTGCAGGAGGCTAAAACCAGACGGGGTGTCTCTCACCCCCGCGGTGGAAATGCTTCGCACCATACACAAAAGCCATATTTCAAGTACTTCGTTTTGACGCTCATAATTGCATCTTTGGTGTTTACCAACTCTCGCAGTTATCCGAAACAAAGATTGGGTTGTAGATGGTTGACTCAAAAATTGCTGAAGTAATCTGTGACTGATTTTACCTTTAGATCTCAGAACGTTTGGATTTCCTGACTCAATTTAGAGCCCTGCTAAGGCCTTCTTGTACCCCATTACCCTTCAGGACAGTCTTGGAGCTGGGAAGTGGGATCGGCTTCACTGGAATCGCAATCTGTAAAACCTGCAGTCCCAAGGCGTACGTATTTAGCGACTGCCACCCCCATGTTCTCAAACAGCTGACAGAAAATATCCGTTTGAATGGCTTTGTCCCGGAGCCCGAACCTGCTCATCGTATCCCAGCGGAGCCACGAGGCCGGGATGCAGAAGCAGCGAGTTGCCCAAAACCGAAACTGATGGTAGCAGCACTTGACTGGGGCTCGGTGACAGAAGAACGACTGTTGGATCTGCAGCCTGACGTCGTCGTCGCAGCAGGTGCGTCACGCTCTGCTGACGCCTCGCCGCGTGCTGTCGCGCGGGGCTGAGCAGGTCGGAGAGAGAAGCGGGGCCGTGCGCAGGCTTCGCTCAGCCCTACTCCAGTGCCCGTGTCTGGAAGCGCGGGACAGACCTTTGCCCCGTTCCTTTCACCGATCTGGCTTTCCCAGATACTCAGCAGTTATTTACCCAAGAGTGAGAAGGAAATTACTTTTCCCTTTGGTGTTTCTTTAAAAAAAAAAAAATAACCCAGAAGCAGGTGATGATAAATCCGCCACTTTTCCGGGCCTCATCAGTAACTGGCAGTCTTGGCATTCTCCTGAGGGGTAACACGTATTTTAAGAGAAAAATCACATTTTTGAAAGCTGCCCACGTATAGATCTGGAGGGAGCTTATGAAAATCGTGATAACGCGCAATCTAGCAATAGTAACATTTCCTAGCTACAGGATTTTACTCCCCGATTTGGGGCTTGGCAAAGCAAAACTTTAGGTGAAAAAAAAAAAAAAAAAGACAAAATACACCGCCTTCATCATCAAAGCATCCCATGATGCATCAAACATTCGGTAAAACAAAGTCACCGTGTGGATGTTCCCTCATGCCAACCGTACCGTTCAGAGGAGGCGCACACCAGCCCGGGCTGGTCTCGGGAAGGTGAGGCAAGTAAAAACCGGCAGCAATTTATAGGTCTCCACTATTTGCTGTTACAAGTTACCGCAGAACATTCCCTGCATCGGCAGTAACCAGTGCGTCCGTCACCCCTACACGCACACACCTCGACGTCTCCCTGTAGCAAACAGCCAGCAGTCCCGAACACCAGACTTCCAGAATGGCAGTGCTCATTCCCAAGGCTGACATTCTGTCCCCCTGGATGATCGGTTTTTACCTTTCCTCACGATTTCTGCTCTCAAGGAAATCGTTGGAGAAGAGAAGGCTGCGGGCAGAGCTGAGTGCAGCCTTTCAGTGCTTAAAGGGGGCCCAGAGGAAAGGGGGGGACAATCTTTTTAGTAGGGCCAGCTGGGACAGGACAAGGGGGGATGGCTTTAAACTGAAGCAGGGGAGGTTTAGGCTGGATCTAAGGAAGAAATTCTTTACACTGAGGGTGGTGAAACCCTGGCAGGGGTTGCCCAGAGAGGGGGTGGAGGCCCCATCCCTGGGAACATTCCAGGCCAGGTTGGCCGGGGCTGTGAGCAACCTGCTGTGGTTCAAGGTGTCCCTGCTCCTGCAGGGGGGTTGGGCTGGGTGACCTCTAGGGGTCCCTTCCCACCCAAACCATTCTAGGATTCTATGAAAATGGCCGCAATTCAAGTGTTTTGCAGTCAGCCTCTAACGTACAGGTTTGGAACAACACAATTCTGTTCTGCTACAGATGCTCGTGGCAGAGCACGCCAACGCTCAGCGGTTTTGCCGCCTCCCTTACGGCGGGCCTAAATTCACCCCGACAACCCCCTTACAGCAAGGAGCACTGATTTTTAGTGCTTTTGGACCGGTATGAGAGATGAGGGCAAGCTGAGGTAGCGTGTAAAATAGAGGCATTTGCCAAGATTTCTTCTTGGGAATTTTTAACCCCCGAATACAAAAATCAGGTCCTCCTGGGAGGCGAATATTTTATGTTCTTGTTCCATAGTTTTCATCCCACTTTTCGCTCAACTCTCAATAAATACCGCATGTTTTCCTTTTTGCGCAGATGTGGTATACGATCCAGAGATAATTTTAGCCCTTATTGGTTTGCTACAAAAACTCTCCCCTCTCGGAGCAGACAGAAAACCTCCGGAGGTCTACGTCGCTTCCACAATTCGCAATCCAGACACATATCGGCTGTTCCAGGCTGAGCTCGGTAGGTGCCTTTCTCGCGAAGCCTATCAATAGGTTTGGTCTCCTTCCCCATTACTTAGTCTGGAGTAGAGATGAACAGGAGCATGTTTTGGTGACAGGCATTGTCCCACACTGAGATTCTTACTCCCGAGCTGGATTTAAGAGTGGGCTGCGCAAGAGCAGTAACTTTTCCACATGGATTCGACCAGGAGATCGGAACTGAGCTTTTTGCTGCATCCTGTCTGTCACAGCTCAGATCTGGTATTGAGGGGAATTGCAAGTGTGGTGGCAATAGGAAACTAAAAAGGCTTAAGCTTAAAGGCAGAAAACCATCTGTGCTGTGACAACGTTCGAGATGCAGCCTAAAATCTTTCTCTTAACTGTTCTTTGAGGGTTAAAAAAACCCCAAACCCCTTGAGATTGAGTAAAATGGAGAGGGATTTGGGATTTTGTTTCATGTTCTCTTCAAAAACCTGTCTCTCGTAGCCTCCCAGCTGGTCTGCAGCAAGTGGTTAATTCACAAAATGATGCTGAGTGCACAGCAGAAGCATTACTGTTAATTTTAAGAACACACACTTGTAAGCATTTGCCTGTAGCTCGCTTTAACAGCAAGTTCTTCTTACAGAACTTGGCATGCGACTTTTGCTCTTCGTTTTATTATGCAGAAATACGATTCCCTGTATTATTTGCAGCTAAAGTTGGGATCGGATGGCAGATCATTCCAGCCCCCAGCAGCAGTATTTTCCTCTACGACGTACAGCCGAATGTAACTATTCTACAGCTGGATTTGCCAAACACGACATAGGTACAATTTTCAGACCAACAGGAGCTCTCTTGCCCTTGCAACAAGATTATCCTGAATTCTGGAAACATACACGAGAGGCAGAGGATACCACTATCTGCACAGACTGCTGTCAGAGCGAGTTAAGTTTCTTCATGTAATCGTCAGGAAGCTGCTGCCCCCACAGAGCATCAGTGAACCTCAAGCAACAGAGGGGGGGAAAAAAAAAAAAAAAAAAAAAAAAGAGAGAAAAAGCGCCCTCATCACACTGCACTTTGATCTGTAGAAGACAAACAGGCCTGAACTGTAATATTTTGCTTTCCAACTGTGTTTTGATTTGTAAATAAAGGAGCCACACCTGCAGGATCAGAGGATGAGTACTGCACACTGACAAGGGAGCAAAACAGGGTTTCATAGTAATAAATATTTTTTAATATTAAAACCAGCTGTAATTGCCTCTGTTTTTTTATACTTGTCTGTATACACTTGCAGTATGGGTTGTCTTAAAAATGAGTAATACCTGCAGCGGATGTCACAGATTGTGTCACAAGCTTACATGATGAGTGTCCCTGCTCACTGCAGGGGGGTTGGACTAGATGACCACTAGTGGTCCCTTCCAACCCTAAACATTCTATGATTCTATGCTGTAGGAGGAGGTAACAGACCCTGCTGTGCACCGTTACCCTGCAGCGATGACAGAATCAGACCTTGCCGTACACTCCTCTCGCTAAGGGCTGTCGCTTTCACTAGCCATGGGGAAGCCGCCCTCACAGACGGGCCAGAAAACAAAAAAAGCCTCATACTCTGTAGCCACGCTCCACGCGTACCGCAAGGAGGAAGAATAGAGCTCACCTTCTTCGAAACTTTCCACAATCCATTCATCGTTTTCCTGCTGGGCAGCAGTGGTCCCGAAGCAGGAAAGCAGCTATGCTGCTCTTCCTCCTCTTTCTGCTTCCTTTTCTGTACTGTGTTTTACAAGCTACTTAGAAGATGAAAAAGTACTTCTGCTGCCTCCTTCTGCAGTAATGGAGAGATAAATGGACAGTTGTCAACTTTTATTCTTCAAGCTGAAGGAGGCCATGACTGTTGGCATTAAGCTGGATCTAGAGCAGTAACCCCACCCCAGGTTGTAGCTACCTCTCCTGAGAAGGAAGCATTCAAAGGTACGATTCACAGAGTAAATGTGTGCTAGCAGCCCAGCTCCTGTAGCTCCCCTTACACAAAATTCTTCAAGTCACTGCGAAGTTCTGTACAGATGGCTCAGTTGGGATCTAAAGAGTTTCATTACAGGAGGATGAAACCTCCCTAAAGCTTTCGGCGTTACAGTTTAATTAGAGAAGTGCCTAATTTACCTCCACGTGCACATCAGTGGCTTAAGTGGCCAAACCACCTGACAGGATTTTGCTTGAAAACAACAGGGGAAAAAAAAATTGGCAGATAAATCTTTTTGGATCCTTCTTCAGTCAGTAAAGGAGTGAAACCGCCGAACTCCTGCAGTGAGCAACTCGGACTCTTGGTTTTCACCTTCCCACCAGTGGAGCCCACTGTAACTGTGGTGCAGAAGGGGAAAAGCAAGATGAGCAAGTGGCTGTCTGGCTGCAAGATATAGGTATATAGGTTTATAGGTTTAATACCTGCAAGAGCAGGTATTAAACGATTACTCAGTATGCAGGCTTAAAAATGCTGGTGCAGAACCCACTGTAATCATCTACCACCGCTGAAGAGCAGTAACTGCATGATAAAACCAAGCGCATTTATTCCCTAAATGGCTGACATCTATTTTATAATCAAAAAGGTGATGAAAAAAGCATCAGGTCTGCATATGGATACTGGTATTAACAATAAAAAGATGAAGCGTATACCCTGAGCGAGCACTCAGAAAGTGAAGCGCCCTTTTGTTAAGTTAGATGTACTTTAATAATACGTTTTGGTTTTATTTTTTCCTTTTCTATTCATCTATTCAAAAGGGGATACATTTTATGTTCTTTCTCAAGGTAAATGGGCACATTCACTTTGCATACAAGGAGAACGCTCCCTGAAAGGTCCATTTTCCTCTAAGCATTCAATAAAGCTGTCACATACCAGTGGCTGGGCTTTCCTGTTCTCGCACACACCGTGAAAAGGAAGACAACTCTGAAACAAAATGGCTCTGTCTCAGTAAAAGCATACAAGAGGATGCAACACTTGTCTAGGGAAGACTAGCCAGGAATATTCACCGGTTGGAAAAACAACCACCCCACTGCATCCTCAGCTCAAATAAAGCAATTCAAGACAGCATCCCCCATCTGCAAGAAAACACCCAAATCTCCTACTCCAGTGCTTCCTGTACGAGTTGTAACTGGCAACAGTTCATGAGTGTATTCAAGCACCTTCAAGCAGCACAGGTAACAGATTTTGCACATATGAGTTCCTAGAGTAACTAAACCCCCCTCCCACTTTCCAAGGATGCATCCCAAGTGCTAAGGAAGGAAAGGCGGTCCAGGGGGCAAGGCTCGAGCACAGGAACCAGGCCCGCCCTCGTTAGCACACAGCGAACGGCCTCAGCTGCGCCTCCACCACTATTCTTACTCACGCGAGAAGCTCAAATTGTGAAGGAAGAGGCGTCTCCAAACACTTGTTCCAAGATGTAGTAGTTAAAAACTGCAACTACAGGCAATGCAAAGTGTTTATTCACTATTTAGCAAATCTCTGCAGCTCCAGGAGTGGATTAGCCTTTTTGACACCCTTCTCCCCCACAGAGTCATTCATTCTGCCCAAGCAAAGGAAGAACAGTCTGGTCCCAACTCTCATCCCAGCGCAGCTGCCTGGACGCACGAAGGTTTTTTCTGAAGTTGTGAAGTTTTCCTTCCAGTGTAGGAAATCCCAAGAAAAGCATCTGTAAGTTAAAAAGGAGAAAACACAGAAAAATACCATCACGTTACATTTTAGGTTCATTCTAGCCTCCCCAGCGTTAACCCTCAACTACAACGCTGCAGCAAGAGCGCTCTTTCATCTGGCCCTATCATAGTGAACGATGACAATATTTAAAATGTTCTTGCCAGCTTCAGATTCAGTCAAAAAGAAGCAAGGCCAATAACATTCACCAGGCAAAGCAATACCTTCTGAGCACACAAAACCCAGAGCTGATGGTCAGACAGGAAAAGGCAGCTCACGTGTTACAGCTAGTGGGAAAGAAATCAGCCAAGCCTTTACCTTTAGTTGTTGTGCAAGTTCATTCGAGTCCCGGAATATCAGACCATTTTCGTTGTGTTTCACAAGTTCATGTAAACTGTGAACAAAAGGCACAGGAGAAAACGTGAGACAAAAAGCAGCGAGCAGGACACACATGTTTAAAGAGTTGCACAGTGACATCCGAAGAGACCGTGCTAGAGTATCTGTAACATTATGATCCTGGATGTCTAGATATGAGCTTCATGTCTGACAAAATGGAATGAAGAAGGCAGTTTTAAAGGTTTAAATTTAAAGATTGTTTCTCCCTTCTATGCCAGACTGTCTAAATCTACCATTACAGTACAAAAGGGCCCTTGCTCTGTCTTTGTGCCATTCATCTGGACACAACATTAAAAATCAGGGCAATTAATCTACCTTAAAATTCACCTACAAGGAAAATCTGTCCATGATCCAGTTCATGAGACCTTCACAAAGAACAGATCTTTATTTATCAAAGCAACTGTTTCCCCAGGGGACTGTAAGTTGCAAGGCTGACTACGCGTACGCCCAACCCTTCACACAACACAGACACACCTCTGCAGGAGGAAGCTTTTTTACATGAAGCACATGGAAACAAAGGGTTACAGGGTAGGTTTTTAAAGCAACTAGTTGCATTAAATGCTCCCAACTTTGTAGAAACTAGTGTTGATTTTTTTAACTGACCTTCAGTAAAGCAACCTTGATTTCTAATTTATCTTACTCAATTAAAAAGAAGTTACTATGGCGCAGTACTGGAGTCTCATTTGATACCTGCAGAAGCTGCTGAATTCTTGCTTTGTAAGAATACGGGTTTATGTGATCCACTTAAACTGTATCAGAATAAACAAGCTCTTACCATTCAAAATATATTGCACACACAGGTAAACAGCAGCCAAACATATCTACCACCTTCATGGGTAAATCCAAACCGCTGGATGATTTATGGAGACACACCCCCAAGTCTGCTGAGCCTGACAAGCAAACAGAAAAGGGTCTGAATTCTCTCAAAGCAGCTCTTCAACGTCTGACTGTAAAGCTTTCTGTTTATGTACTATTTGGGTGATGAACGCTAAACATGAGCCATCTTCAACACCATCCAGACTGACTCAATTCCAAGCGTTCAGGGGGTAGGGAGGCGGAAACACGATATATTTTGTTACTGAAATGAGTCAGGCTTTAGAAACATACCAGGCGAGTGCATGTTAAATTAAAGGGGATTCTAAAATTTCACATATCTTAAAACAGCCTTTCTGCCTCTTAATCTGCTAAGAATGGCTAAGTGCATGGGAAAACTCCATCACAATCCAGAGAGGACCTGCTGCGTGGCTCACTAGCGACCTCTTCCAGTTCAAGCAATTTTGAAAACCAAGAAATCACAGCACGATTTTATAGATATTCATTAGTTAAAAAGTACCAAATAAACACGGGTTTACAGCCATATCGATTGGCAGGCTCTAACGCTGCGGAATGTAGACCAAGTTGAATATGTATTTTATGACTTTATGAAGCTTACTCACACTTTATGCTAATACAGCGAACATGCTGAGGGAATACTATTCCAAGGATGCGTTAATTTAGAATTTCAGCTACTTTTGGTTGTTCAGCCGAAAACTTTATGATTTCATTTACAGAAGTGACCCTGAAAGCAAACGGGAACACTCACGGGCACGCTGTATTCAGCATAGTTAGAAGAAATTAAGAGTACAAAGAACAGGCTAAAAAGAGCAACGCAGGTACTACGCCTACTTCTCAGGGTAACAGTGAAAAACTGTAGTTAAAAGACATTTAGCAATTTTGCTGGCATGAGTCAGAACCACAAACAGCATGCGTGTACACCGTCATTAACCAGCAACTTAACTCGCTTACGATATTCTACCAGCTTCCGTGCAAAATCTAGACCAGCTCTCTACAAATTTGCCAAGTTGCTTTCCTCACATTCTCAAGCCTGTTTCATAATTCGCTATTTACCAAGCAAAAGAGGGTAATCCTCAGCCTCCAGCCATGGCGTACAGATCTGGATATGTTTAAACCGCAGGGTATTGATCAGTCCGTTGTAGTAGTCTTTTAGAGGTCCTTTACCTGTTTAAAACAGGAAAAAAAAAAAAAACATGATAGGGCTTTTTTATCAAGATGGCTGAAAATAGCGTGGTCTGTGCATCTGACTGTACAGCTGGCAAACTCCTGTTGTATCAGGTAACTCAGCAAAGGTACCACTCACAGTCCCCAAGAAGACAGGTAAAGAGTTAAGTCCCTTTGAAAGCAAGGTGAACCTAGACTTCTTGCTTACTCAGCATCTAGAAGAGCCTGCCATCAATATCCCCAGGTCTTGACCTGCCTTTTCCCTGCAGCCATAAGATAACCAAATAACTAATAACAAATTTCATCAGCGCAATCAGCCCTTCAAAATCATGCTAAATTTTACTTTGCTCGTAATGAGAAAGTTACCCAAACAGTATTCATTCTGTCTGTGCAGTTTTTTGGCAAAACCTTGTTTGAGGAGAAGGCTCTCTCTTTTCCAGCACTAACTGTAAATCACTACTCTGATAACCAGACGTAAAGACAACAGTCCCTCCTCTCTCTTCACCATCAACAGAAGAGTCAGCATAGGGAAAAAAAAGCAAAAATAAAGTCTTCTGTATTAGTACTGGAAGAATTGTAACGTGGATCGAGTATTACCTGTTATCACGCATACTAAAGATGGAAGCTCGACTCCCTCATCGATATACCGCTCATAATCTGGAGAAGACAAAAAACTGTTTAGAGTTGACAAATATACGGCTGCCTGGTTTAAGAACGGTCACGGCGTCTAATTGCTTAGCTTCCCACTCCAAGCAATTTCTTTACAAGCATATACCGAGCAAAACAGTAGCAAATTTAGCAATATTAGAATTGTCAAACTTCTACAGAAATAAATTATGGTCTGTTTAAAATGCACTGTCCATAAAGCATTTGTTCTACTACGCCATAGTGTCTGTCTCAACATACTAATTTAGAAGCTGCAGCTGCTAAGTCTACAAAGTAAGACAACACATATTCCCTTCTTTCCTATTATCAGATGCCCACGGAGAGTACACCCAAGAGCTTAGAAAATAAAATTGCAATTTGTAAGCTAGTTAGAAATATCAGTCTCCCTGACAACTACCCTAATTGAACCCAGATGTTGCACTTCCATATTTCAACTACTCCTCTTAAAACCACTCTAATTAATCAATCTGCATTTTCACCGGAACGCGGAGGTGTTGTTCTTTAGAGAAGCCCTTCACGACCTTCCCAAAAACAACCATTCCCCTTTGAATAGAGGAGATCAATTCCTTCATACCTACCTTCTAAAGCTTTTAGAAGGACTGAAAAGTCTTCATCCTCTGAAAGAGAGGGCATTATTAGTGACAGATTTCTATCAGTCATAATGAATTATTGTCTTTAAGTAACAACAATCAAGATGCTCCTCACCTTCACCTAAGTGATTTAGGTATTTCCTATTAAAACTCCACTGTAACTCTTTTCGTAAATAAGAAGTCTCTAACCATATTCAATGCTTATTTGCTCCCCTTATTGGCAATATGGTAGACAAATAAGCCACAAATAACGCACATCTTCAAAGCTATCAAGTTAAAAATTTCTAGTTGCTAAAGCTAGAGAACCAAGGGTAAAAATTGCCCCGTTAATTCACAGGTATGGACAATTCTGCCCACGGTTACCAGCAATGGATTTGTTTCTACTCTCTGCACCCTTTTTCATACAGAGAAAAAAAGTGAGAAAAATACGTAGTACACATTATCAGAAATAAAGGAGTAAATATTTTAGCTTACTAATCCATTTTACACCACCATGCAAGATAACATGTCCAGAATGAAAGTTAAAACCAGAAGTAAACAGGAAATATCTTTTAATTATTCTTGAAGCGAGCCTCTAGACTGTAGCTCCGTAACTAAAATATAACTCCATTTTTAAGTCATGCCTCAGTGGCTAAAAATGAATATTATATGCAAGTTGCCTTCAAGGAAAAAAGTTAACTTTGCTGCTCATGATGTAAACATGCCTCTGTAACATGTCAAGTGCAGGGAAGTATGAACAGCCATCTCCTGTTAAACAGTGGGAAAGTATTAAAAAAAAACAAAAAAACCAAAAAAACCCCCAACAATTTGTTTCCAAACCTGTCCAGCTTGTGCTGCTGATCAGAAGAGCTGGCCGTCCTCTAGTTTTTATCACGTGTCCATTTTTTTCATCCATTTCTGTAAAGGCAGTCGTCTCAGTGTCCGAACTGACAGACTCTGTACTACGGAAACAGCATTTTCTGAGTATGGGCTACACAAACACAGCCAATAAACACAGATGAAATGCTATGCTTAACCAGCGTACACCTCCAAACGCTTTGTTTCAGATTTGCTGCTCAACTTCTCTGGAAACGCAGTCATTGCAGCGCCGAGGGGCAGAGATACACCTCATCGTAAGAGAGACCACTTTTCACCTTTCCTAGTGCTACCAAGAGCATAGCGACACTACTGCGATAGGCACGATTCCATCTTCTAACAAAGTGTTTTCCTTAACAAGGTGAAGAAAGTCAGCCTCTCTTTGCAGCTCGGTCTCAAACATGTAGTAGAGCATGGAGGCCATTTACACAATTAAACCCAGAACCTATTCATTCTACGGTTGGCATTTCCAAAAAGAAACCGCTATACGCTACAGCTTTCACCACTTCTTCGTGCATTAGTTTGGTAAGGTAACACCCTGTTAAATCTACTACAGGAGACATCCAGCACGTAGCCAGAGAGGAGCGTTTAACACTTAGACCAAGATCCTGAAAGCTCTCCACAGGAAGTGAAAGGGAGGGATGCTATAAACAAAGCATCCCATCGCTGTCACCTAGCTCAGCGGGAACTAGACGACAACCGCCGAGTTCCACCCTAGAGACCCGCTATGAGAGACTCCCTCAGTACTTACGCCACCTTCTCTACAAATAAACCACTTCTATTATTTCGCACATTGCGTTACCACAGTTCAATGATTTGACATATTCTGGCCCCTCCTAGTGACAATGAAGCCAACTCGCACAGCATCTGCTGCTGCTGAGAGCGCTCTGCAGGCTGACGTTCAGCAGCTTGTGACCCCGCACAAAAGTATTTCTGGTAACTAAGCACAATAACTTTGTGTCGTTCAGGTAAGGACTGTAAGGGCAAGCTTTACTTACACATACCGCGGTTTAAAAGGCTCGTAGTCTTTGGCAAGTTTCATGTACAATCGATGTTGTAGTTCCAACGGTGTTTCCTTAAAATAAGACGCTGGCTTGTCATACAGCGTTACTGCCCTGTAATGGAATAAATTCACAAGTTCAATAAAACACAGACGTAACAAAATGCATACAGTGCAGTGACAGGCTACAACAGTGTAATGCAGAAAGTAATTAAGTGAATTAATACAGCAAAATAACGACCTTTTCTGACACTTACAACTTTCTGTATTCCTCAAGTTTGCTGGAGTACACCAGGATGGAGATATTAAACCCACAGCAAAGGACCCCTTCCCTATGCACATATTCAAGGGGTGTAATGCAACCGTAAAAACCGCAGACATCGTTGTCCCTATTTTTAAACTTACTTCATAGCCACCCCTGAGGAACTTTGACTTTAAAGCCCTCTGATTGCAAAAGAAAAATCTGCAGGACATACGAGTTGTTAATCAATGCAGTGGTGTCTGCCTCATTCCAATTCTACAAACTTCCCTAACACCTGGACTGCTACCTTCTAGTCAATGGGGTGCTAATTATGAAGGGCAATGAAGATTCTTGAATGCCCACGCCTCACTAGCTCGTTACAAAACTCAACTACTGCGTTTCAGTGGTAATGAAAGGGCTCAGGAAAGTTCCTTTTGTAAGATTCCTCTGAATCCAGAGCCATCAGGGCTATGTTATTTCACTTTGCATACTGACATACTCATTTGTTAGAGGTATGTGACTTACTTTATGTTGCAATTCACCCACAGATCTTCTTTCATTGCATTAGTGACACACAAGTTATAGTCAGACAAACGCCCAAAAAGCTTTTCATACCTGACAAAAATTAAATCTTAGTTAGAAACCACAGGCAGGCAATCACAGGAGCCACAGTTACTGCCCACCAGGGCCAATGCTAATTAAAAGCCAAACAAAACCAAAGGAAATCCAACTGCCTCCAGTAACTGAAACGTAATTATCAATTATTGATTGACTCCTTTTACTGAAGCAGTATCAGTGTATGAGAAGGGATATAGCACAACTCCCTTATGCTCTAAGGCCTAAGAGCACCACACTCGAAAGCCTCTAAAGCCTTTACCTACGTGTAATCAATTGGATCTGGCAAGAAACAGACAACTAAAGATGAGTTGGAGGGTAAAGCAGCATTAGAGAATAATAAAACATATAAAGAAATTCTAATAACAAGATCAAAGCTTGCATATGCACATAAAAGCAGTCGCCTTCCCATGCGTTTCACAAAGGCGTTTTACAGAACACGCGTTCTGAAACAGAAAGCACTTCAACACAGCAAAACCCAGAAACCCTTCACGGAAACAGCCCTTTGCTGATTATATTCTCCCCATTGGTTTCCATTCTTCTGCATTCTGCAAAGGTACACGATTTATAAAGAGGAGAAGAAATTACTGTACAAACCATTTTGCAATTTGTACTAGCGGGTGATTTCTTCCGTGACTCAGACTCATTATAGTATATCCATAGTTGTGCCAATCAATTATCAGTTTGCTTCTCCAGAAGAGACAGGCTACCCAGGCAACAGCTATACTAGGTAAGCCTGGAGGATTCTGTTTAAGAAATAAACCAAGTTAAAATAGTGTAAGCCTTCAGTCAAGTGACGAACACTAAGCAACTACCAAAAAATAAAATCAAATCATTGAAATTACAGCGCTTTAAAGGATCTTGATGAACAGAGACAATTCAGTATTCACCAACTACAGAACTGCCAGTTTCTCCTACAAGGACTGGGAGCCACTTCAAATTTTACCATTGGATCAGGATCAAAATTCCCGTCCCACAGACAAACATTTCTGCTAAGACTTATTCTTTACTATTATCCATGCCAATGAAGTCTGAAAGCTCAGCAGTTAACAGGAAGAACAAACCTGAGTTTGAGTTTAGAGCCAAAAAAAATAGTTTGACAGAAGTTTACACCATTGATTAGGCCATGTTTAGCTCTCAAATAATTAGAACAATAATTAGACTGCTAAAAATGCCCTGTAATGTAGTACTATTTATTTCAGTAAAATTAGTCCCAACACAAAACATACCTGAAGAAGAACATAGGATGGCCGATCTATCTTCTTCAGCATCGTGTACAGTAATTGTATTGCCTGCACAATGGCTTTTATGACATACTGGAAAAGCTTTGGGCCAACTGCAAAACAAGAGAAAACCTGGTAAGAACATTGCAGCTCCCCAGAAATACGCACCTCATACGGAACCGGCTGCCCCTACCAGAGAAACGTTGAAAATAAAGGTACGCTGTAAAAACTGAAAACTGGTTTTAGACAAACTGGATATAAGGAAGAAATTCTTTACAATAAGGGTAGTAAAACACTGGAACAGGTTGCCCAGAGAGGGGGTGGAGGCTCCATCCCTGGGAACTTTCCAGGCCAGGTTGGCCGGGGCTGTGAGCAACCTGATGTGGTTCAAGGTGTCCCTGCTCCTGCAGGGGGGTTGGGCTGGGTGACCTCTAGGGGTCCCCTCCCACCCAAAACATTCGATGATTCGATGACCTCTAGGGGTCCCTTCCCACCCAAAACATTCGATGACCTCTGGGGGTCCCTTCCCACCCAAAACATTCGATGATTCGATGATCTCTAGGGGTCCTTTCCAACCCAAAACATTTGATGATTCTATGAAACGCCTCGCAATCCCTACAAATTCCGCTTTGCAGAGAAAGAAATCGGGGTAGGTGCGAATAAACATACACACAAGGTAAGAAAAAAGAAAAAATTAACTTAAAAGCGTCCCTGTTTCAGCCTGCACCAGACCTGCATCAACGCGCTCCAGCACCATCGAGGCGAGGGTTTGAAGCAGGCAGGGAGCCAGCACGCCCCCCCCTTTCGCGTTCTTTATTTTTCCCCGTCAATCTCCTTGCCCCTGCTCCCTTCTCCCGGCCGCCAGCACCCACCTCGCAGCCCCCGCAG